AGGTAAAGTCATGGTTGATAAGTGAAAGAAGAAGAGGAGCTGCACAATATTGCCAGTGAGAAACCAGTGAATTGTAACCACTGCTCCCAAGGCGTGTACACCCATGCATGTGTGTGTTGTCACCAGGAATTAAATCGTGCAGCTGTGTATCTTGGTACGGCACGGTTGCCGTGATTTATGAGTCTAGCTGTGAGCAAGTTCACAACCGGCAATCCAAGAGAGGAGGAGGGAGGGTGGAGAGAGAGAGGAAGGTTGGCAGAAGTGCTTTATGAGTTTCATATTTAATGCTTTTAACATGATGTCTCGTTCTCACTTCTAGAAAGCACTTAGCAGATACAAGCCAAAAATAGATTGCTGTCCATAGCTGACCAAACGTGAAAGTGGGGGATGTGTGTGCACGTTGTTGTGGTTTTTTATGGTTGTTGTTTTATATCTGAGCTGTGGGAGAGTATTTTACAATAAAAGACATGAGCTACTGATACTGTTTAACTGGGGTGAAAGAAGACACAGAAGCCCATCCCCCACCCCTATTCCCCTGTCTGTCTCCCTCCTCTCCTACCACCCTCTTTTTTTTTTTTCAAGATTTTATTTATTTATTCATGAGAGACACAGACAGAGGCAGAGACATAGGCAGAGGGAGAAGTAGGCTCCCTGTAGGGAGCCCGATGTGGGACTTGATCCCAGGACCCCAGGACCACAACCTGAGCCAAAGGCAGATGCTCAACCTCTGAGCTACCCAGGTGCCCCCTACACCCTCTTTTTTTTTTTTTTAGGATTTTATTTATTCATTAGAGAAACACAGAGAGAGGCAGAGACACAGGCAGAGGGAGAAGCAGGCTCCATGCAGGGAGCCCGACATGGGACTCGATCCCGGGACTCCAGGATCGTATCCTGAGCCAAAGGCAGATGCTTAACCGCTGAGCCACCCAGGTGTCTCTACACCCTCTTTTGATGAGTGTCTCCATCTGACACTATCTGTGTGCTCTCTGGGCTGATTCCCTGTCAGCCAAGCCACAGTCCATTCTATAGATGAGGCATGAACCTGCAGCTTTCAGAGCATGAACACACAGTGCATTCCCAAGAAACTTAGAGTTAGGTAGGGTAGACAGGATATATAGATAAAACCATGTTATAAATAAAGTTTTATATAATCACAGCTTCCGTGTTTTGAGCCACTTCCTATATAACAGACACTGCTACCTCATTTAATCCTTACAACCATCCTCTTATGTGAGTACTCTCCTGTTCACTAGAGGGTGGTTTTCTTTGATCATGAACATTCAGACTTACAAGATGACCAGAAGCCACAGCAGGCACTGGGTCTCTTCAGAGCTTGCCAACAGGGCAGCATCAGGCCTTCTACAGAGTCCTCACTGGTACATGGGAGTCTACATAAACGCACAAGGGCAAGATGCCCCACAGGCAAAAGTGGGAACTGCACTGGTATAAGAGGAATCAAAGGTCCTGTAACATTCCACGGGCATACTCCTTGGTTCCCTGCTTGGGACATGCCTAGGGACAAGATCACCACATTTAGGAAGCCCAAGCTCTGACTTGCTATCAGGTGTGTATAAATGGTTTCCACGGGGATCCCTGGGTGGCTCAGCGGTTTAGCGCCTGCCTTCAGCCCAGGGAGTGATCCTGGAGTCCTGGGATCGAGTCCCACATCAGGCTCCTTGCATGGAGCCTGCTTCTCCCTCTGCCCCTCTCTCTCTCTCTCTCTCTCTCTCTCTCTCTCTCTCATAAATAAATAAATAAATAAATAAATAAATAAATAAATAAATAAATAAATAAATAAATAAAATCTTTAAAAAAAATGGTTTCTCACTCTTCCCAGTCCAGAAGTGATTTGCTCATCAGGGGTCAGTGTGATCATAGGGAGTGTTGACTGTTAGTATAGTTGAAATACCATTTTAGCAGATTACCTGAGCTTAACCAAAGATCAAATTCTCTGGCAGAAAGGGAAACAATGGAGGATCCCTGGGTGGCTCAGCAGTTTAGCACCTGCCTTCAGCCCAGGGTGTGATCCTGGAGTCCTGGCATCGAGTCCTGTGTCAGGCTCCCTGCATGGAGCCTACTTCTCCCTCTGCCTGTGACTCTGCCTCTCTCTCTATCTCTGTGTCTCTCATTAATAAATAAATAAAATCTTAAAAAAAAAAAACGGAAACAATGTATGTTGACCCTTTGCCTACAGTTGTTAGTCCCATTTTACGGAGAAGAAAGCTGAGGTTTAGAGAGACTTACCAGACTTGCCTCAAGTCACATAAGTAACACAGGCAGGGGCTAGACCCTTGGTCTGCCTGGCTCCAAGTCCCGTATTCCTAACTAAGGTGCAAGATGCACATTTTACATTGTACTACATAGAGTATCTGCTTTCTTTTACCATTTGAAAAAACTGACTTGAGAGGCACCTGTCTGGCTTAATCGATAGATCATGCAACTCCAGATGTCAGGGTTGTGAGTTCAAGCCCCACATTGGGCAAAGAGCTTACTTTATTTTTTTTTTTTTTAAAGATTTTTTATTTATTTATTCCTGAGAAACATAGAAGCAGAGACACAGGCAGAGGGAGAAGCAGGCTCCATGCAGGGACCCTGAATGTGGGACTCGATCCCGGGACTCCAGGATCACGCCCTGGGCCAAAGGCAGGTGCTAAACCACTGAGCCACCCAGGGATCCCCAAAAGAGCTTACTTTAAAGCAAAACAAAAAACTGACTTGAATTACCTACATTGAGAGCCCTTGGTTCTTCTGGGAAAAGGCAATGTATCTATTCTGTGGTTTTACCCACTCCACACGTACCATGTAGCCCAATTGGAGAAGCTTGGTACTGTGCGAGTTAGTAATTCTACTTAAAATAGTAGAAGAAAGCACTAGTTCTTTGCTTTTCTTTTAGATTCCATAATTTGAATAGAAGTTTGGAAGGGGTAGGGGTGGGGGAGCTGGGGAAGCAGTTTTAAGAACGTAGAGCCAACTTTGCATCTGAAAGTAAATGAATACCTGGCTACCAGGTGCTAACAATTCTGTTTCGCATTGTTCCGGTCTTGTTTTTAAACCTTCACCATCTTGTAGCATAAAACCTAAGAGCCCAAGACAAAGCACCTAGCTTTATTACCGTTCAGTTCTTCATAAACATCTGGTTGATTATATATCTAGATTGTATTGCAGAAGCCATTCAAGAAATGTGCCATCCATGTTCCAAGTGTAAGAGTAGACATTTTAAGACACTGTAACAATATTGTAATATTGTTTCATTGGTATTTGGCTAAGCTTTTTACCAGGCATTGGAACTATTTATTGACTTCTAAAACTTCCTAGCATAATGAAGACAAATACTAGGAAATTTTTAGAACATGAAATGTGTTGGGTCGTAACCATGTTTAAGTACAATGGAATTAATGAAGAGTAGTATTAAGACAGAATGTAATGATGGGGGTTAGGGACAGGGAAGACTTGAGGGGCATGCTTATGTCCTTCTAGCCAAGGCAGTGGGCATGGGTGCCTGTTTTATTCCCTAAATCCTTTCAGGCAACCTATTCACGCTTTCTGCCACAGTTTTCAAAAATGCAGCTGAAAAGCCTGCCTGTCAATAATACAAAAAAAAAGTTTGCTGGCCTCCACCTGGCTCAGTCAGTAGAACATGCGACTCTTGATTTTAGGCCTATGAGTTCAAGCCCCATGTTGGGCACGGAGCCTTTTTTTTTTTTTAAAGATTTTATTTATTTAATCATGATAGTCACACAGAGAGAGACAGAGAGGCAGAGACACAGGCAGAGGGAGAAGCAGGCTCCATGCAGGGAGCCTGACGTGGGATTCGACCCCGGGTCTCCAGGATCGCGCCCCAGGCCAAAGGCAGGCGCCAAACTGCTGCGCCACCGAGGGATCCCTGGCACGGAGCCTTTTTAAGAAAAAGATTGTATAATGTCTGAAAAAAAGATTTGCTCTTTAGGTGAAAGCTATCATGCCATGGATTATTTTGAATGTTATATTACACGAATTTATGAAATGTTAAACAGAAAAGAACAGATCAAATGTTACAAACATAAAAGAAGTGTTGAAGGGATAACTTTGAAGTTTCCAAAGTGAAATCATGAGGAAAAGTCGCTTTTCCCTTTAGGAGTTATAAAATCACAACATAAACCAGTCTTTAGCAATGATCTTTCTCCCTTGAATCTGGGCAGATTTACTCATTCTGTAAATGTTTACTGAGATAGACTTGGCAGTGTGCTAGCAGCAATCATGGGGACTTATGTCCTTTCCTTTTGGCTAATGGTTAGGGAGACAAGACCGTCGGTCTGCCAAGAAAAATTTTTAAGATCTCAATAACAATATGAGGATTGGGAGCAAGACAAAAAGGATCCTTTTTCAGGAGGCCATATATGTTAAGTGGCAGTGAAGCAGTACAAACAATAAATAGTACCAAGCCACAGATGAAGGAAGCTCTTTCCACCTGGGACTGCTGGGGAACTTTGAGAATGGGTGGGCTTTCTGAGTTGAAAGAAAAGAGAGGACCTTCCAAGAGAAAGGAAGTTGTCTTTTTTTTTTTTTTTAAGATTTTATTTGTTTACTCATGAAAGACACAGAGAGAGGCAGAGACATAGGCAGAGAGAGAAGTAGGCTCCTGTGGGGAGCCTGATGCAGGACTCGATCCCAGGACCCCGGGATCACAACCTGAGCCCAAGGCAGATGCTCAGCTACTGAACCACCCAGGTGCCCCTAGAGAGGTCCTCTAACCCAAGGCACAACAGCGGATGTAAACATAGTCTCTGTGTGTACGAGGAGGGTTCGTGTCAGGAAGAAATGGGGCCTTACCTGTGAGGAACCTGAAGACGGTGAGCTAGAAGATAATTTAATCCCAGAGGAAAAGAGAATCTGTTGTGAGTCTTTGAGATTGTGAACACATCCCCTTCCCTGGGTGGGGTATCTGTCGAACTCGGGGTAAAGTCATCATCCCTCATGCTGCATAGATGGTCCCAGTTACTTACTTTCCATTGTTGCTTCAGATTCATGACAGATGCCGCCCGTCGAGAGCAAGAGTCCCTGAAGAAGAAGATTCAGCCTAAGCTCTCGCTGACCTTGTCCAGCTCAGTGTCCCGAGGGAATGTGTCCACTCCACCACGGCACAGCAGTGGAAGCCTTACTCCTCCCGTGACCCCGCCCATCACTCCCTCCTCATCATTCCGGAGCAGCACTCCCACAGGTAAGTGGCTCAGCCCCTTAGCATTTTCCAGGTGAGGGGGGGATAGCACCTGTGTGGGTGTGACATGCTGGGGGTAGAAGGGGGCTGGGGACAGGTGATGGTTCAGACCCATCTTTGTTCCTTTACTGGTCTCTGTAGAATTTGTCAATATAGTCATCTATCATTGAAGAAGTATTTACAAATTATTGTATATAGTCTGTACGTGATAATGGTTTTATAGATATTTTTTGAGCCTTTACCATTTGTGAGCCTGGAGTGAATTTCCTTCAGTCAGATGGAAGAGTAGATGAAACAAGATTGCTATGTGTTGATTATCATTGGCTCTGGGTGATGAGTACATAGGGGTTCATTCTACCATTTTCCATAATGTCAAAAAAAATTCTGAGTGCCTCCTGTTTGCCTGAAAGAGGTTAGGCTTCGTGGAAGATGTTGGTATTCTAGGAGGACCAACATGCACACTCTTAAGAGTCTTCCCCTCCCAAACGTAGAAGCAACTGAAAAAGTAAACAGCAGCCAGAGGAAGATCAAAATCAACTTTATTAGTGAATAAAGCCAAACTGCAGAATGGAACTTGGATTCATAACCATTGGGCTTCTTTTAGTATGTCTTCCCTGAATTCAGCTTATTTCCCAAACTGCCCTTTCACACGGATGCCAAGCAGATGCGAGTGCACCCCAGGCCCTGAGATGAGCATGCACACGGCCCCTTCTCCCCAGTTAAGTTGTTGCTCCTCCACAGGCAGGAATGAGTAAAGACAGTCAAAGGAGACTGGAAAGATCCCTCCTCTTCTTTCTGCCATCTGAGAAGCAGGGAATTTATTTCCCCTCCCCACAGTCGGGAGTTTAGACAGGCATTAAATAAACGGAATCTTATAACCATGATAAGTGCTATATAGAACTCAGTGACAGGAGAGTATCCAGACGGAAATTCAGGAAAGGTTTTCCCCAGAAGATAAATAGGACTTAAGCAGGTAAAGAGGGGAAGGAGGAACATCCCACCAGGGGACATTTTGCAGAAGCTCTCTAAGGAGGAGCCTGGCAGGTCTCAGGTATAGAAAGAGGCCAGCTAACTAGTGTGAGGTGAGGCCAGGGCAGTCGGCAGAAACCAGGGCACCGTGGGTTGATCCTGAGAGCAAAGAAAAGCCATCTAGAATCACACTATCTATCCTCTCTATAGGATCACTCCCGTGACTGTGGTTAAAAAGTTGATTTTCTCTGACAGTTTGTGGATCTCTCTTTCAGCCATCTCTCATCAAGGGAGAGGACGACAGTAATATTTCTCAAGTTGTGTTTCAGATATTTCCTTCACAAAATCGTAGTTTGGAGGGAAAGGGATTCCCTAATAAGATGGGGAAAGTGATGGGTAAATCAAAGTAAACTGATTTCTTTAATGCAGGGCTTTAATATGTATTGTTATTCTCCGAGGGAAGGATTTAGTAAGTTTCTCAAACTTAGTTGACTTTCATTAGGGGACCTCCTTTCTAAGGGCAGGTTGGGGGACTCAAGGCTGATAGACACCCTATGTCTTGTCAGGATTAGGCACTTTGAAGATAGGACAGGTGTGCGAGACAAGCCGATCAGAGTTCTATCTGTACTTCTCCCTTTACAGATCACTAATGATACCCAATATATGAATTTTTCTGTGAGTTAAATGTGAGGGCATTTGTATACACCCAGCATTCAATAAATGTTCATCTCTGTGGTCTGTGGTTTTCAACTAGTTGCTTCAAGAAGAGAATCAGCGTCACTTGCCTGTAAATGGTGAATTGGCTCATTTGTGTTGGGCATTTGTCCATTCCTTTAGGTAGGCCACCATATTTCCCTTACATTTTATTCTGTGAAGATTTACTTTCCAGGATCTTTGTGTAATATTTGCTATGTAAATCTAAGGAGTGCTATGAGAACGTAGTGTAACTCTGTGGTCCTCTTTTCTGGGTATTTCTGTGATTATTTATCCATATATAATATGAATTATGGGGGCAGTTCTATACTGGAGAGTGTTTTATACCGGACTTAATATGGACTGACTCGTGGCCAAAACCAGATAACCATGACTGCCCCAATTAGTAACGGGTGCCATAGAACCCCATGAACACAGACAGTTTAAAAGTGAGAGTTTATTATTTTTCATGTAAGAATGTTTGGAAGAAATGGAATCATTTCCTTTCCTTCAGACATAAAGAAATCGTTCTGACACCTTGCCTATTTTAACAATTTCCCACTGAGAGAATTAATTTATGTTGTGGTAAAGATGTATCATTTTCAGTCTGTCAAGATCATTGGTAACTTATTTGCTGCTTGAAGAACGTTCCATGTAAACATCAAAAATTAGGGGAAGTGGTTGCTTAAACCCCTACCCTGTACAATTTTGATTGTGTACATTTTTCAATGTTCGAAATGTTATTTTACCTGTAGTTAGAGAGATCAGCTTATTTTGCCTGACTAATGTGGTTTCGTTCACTTTTCATTGCCAAGTTATAAATAATATTCCAAGTTTCTACCTCCTAAATTCACTCTTCCAAGTTCCACATTTAAGGTATATTCCAGGTCCAGAAGTAATAGTCCTCTTGTAGAAAATCTCATTTATAAAATATTCTTTAAAATATACCATCTTGACTGACTTAGAGCTCCGCTTCCTCCTGGAGTTTCAAGTATTTCTTAGGTCTTCTTGGACTTAATATTTACTTTGAAATTTCTAAATCCTAGGAGAATCTTCTTACCTTAGCTTTTTCATTTTCTATCCTAAGTAGTTTTGTTTTAAGTATATATGTATTTTTTATTATATATATTAAATGTGGGTGTGTATGAAAGAAAGTATTCACTTAAGGAAAGATTAGAATGGTTTAAATCATGAGTTGGCAAACCTTTTCTGTAAAGGATCAAATAGTAAATATTTCATGCTTTGTAGGCCAGAGGGTCTCTGATTCAGCGACTCAATCCTGCCATTATAGCATGAAAACAGCTGTAGAACTCCATAAATGAATAAGCATGGTGTGTTCCTTCAAAACTAAAAGTTTTTGTAAAACTTTATTTATAAAAATAGACCAGATTTGGCTCACAGGCCATAGTTTGCCATTCCCTGGTTTAATGATAAAGCTATGTAATTTAAAGATCAACTTCAGGGTGCCTGAGTGGCTCAGTCGTTTGGGGGTCTGCCTTCAGCTCCAGTCGTAATCCAGGGTCCTGGGATTGAGTCCTGTGTTGGGCTCCCTGCTCACTGAGGAGTTTGCTTCTCCCTCTCCCTCTGCCCTTTCACTTCCACCCTTCTCTCTCTCTCTCTCTCTCTCTCAAATAAATAAATAAAATCTTTAAAATAAAATTTTAAAAAAGATCAACTTCATTAAATTCCCTGCAAACAAAATGTCAAAAGAATTCATACCCTTCTCTTCAGAAGTAGTAATTCCTAAGGGGGGAAATTCCTAGGGTATAATTCCTAAGGGGGAAAGACAACTAACGTTTGTAGAGTATTTACTATATTATATGCTTTCATATTCTGGACGTATAATGCTTTTAATCCCAACACCAGCTGCACTGAGACAACATTCTTATTTCCATATACAGATTAAAGAAATAGAGGCCTTTAATAAGGTTAACTTCACAAAGCCCCATGTCTGTCTATTCAAAAAAATGTGGTCTTCCAGTAGTGCAGTTTCCTTGCACTTTCCACATTAGGACCTTTTAGAAAATTCTTATTAGACCTTCAGCCATCTAGCTGCTCCAGTTACCAATTAGACAACTCCAAACCCAAAATCCAACAGAATGTTAAGATAACTGGAACTCTGGTTCACTTCCGTTCTCAGACTTCCCACCCTGCTGTCCAAATAGCATATTAGAAGTGGAGAGCCAACCACTTAGTCCAGGTTTTCTTTAAGGATGAGCTGGAGCTGATTCCTGAGAGCCAGTTATTAAATGTCCCTGTTTGCCAACCAGTTGTTAGAAGGATTACCTTGAAATTGGCCTTAGTGGGAGTCTTTACACCAATCGAATTGGCAAATGCTACCTATCAGCACCCCCACCTTACCCCCCCCCCTGCCTCTTTACCATTATACCAGGTTTATCCTTTCAGTAGTTAACGGATTAACATTACTTTGTTATTCAAGGGATCAGGGTCCTAACTGTGTCTGTGAATAAACCGAAAGCAAACCTCAGTCACCAATAAATAATGGCCATTTCGAATATTGGATTGCTTTGCAGTCATTCGCAGCAATGTTATAGGTGACTAATGACACGGAAAGTTATTCACATTCTTGGGTTACAAAACCACACGTGCAGCGTGATCCCAATTTTATTTTTTACTCCAAAAGAGCTAACTGTGGTTGCCTTAATATGATAGGGAAAGGGGCGTTATTTTCTCCATTCTCTTTTCTCCCATTTACTAAGATGAATCTGTTTTACTTTTATAACTGAAATTAGTGTTTAGTGCATATAACCAAAAGATCTAGACAGGATGGCCCCATGCCGTCCAAAAAAAACAGTTTAATGAATTTATTTTCTTCAAATTAATTTAATTATCTTTTCTGGAAGAGGAAGGATTTTTCTCTAGGAAAGGCCTGGGTTAGCATATTATATTGGTTATCAGTGCCTGTAGATTAATTAGTTAAGAAAGTAATTCCTCCCCCCACTCTGATCCCCACACCTATATTTGCCAATGAATTTCTTAAAAGAGTGATTCTCCATCAGGCTGAAATCAAAATCACCTGGAAGTTTTGTTTTGTTTTGTTTTAAGTGAACTCTACACCATACATGGGGCTCAAACTCACAACCCAGATATCAAGAGTTGCATGCAGGGACGCCTGGGTGGCTCAGCGGTTGAGGGTCTGCCTTTGGCTCAGGCATGATCCCAGATTCCCAGGATGGAGTCCCACATTGGGCTCCTTGCATGGAGCCTGGTTCTCCTCCCTCTGCTTGTGTCTCTGCCTCTCTGTGTCTCTCATGAATAAATAAAATCTTAAAAAAAAAAAGTTGCATGCTTTACCAACTGAGTCAGCTAGGCACCCCAAC